AAAAGGGAACATTAAAATTCGTGAAAACGCAACAAAAATACTGGAGTTAGCCTGAGCGTGAAGTGTATGTGAATAGCAAAGTAGCTTATAAGGAAGTTTAAATGTGTGACCGATATGAAGAAGACGCTGGTTAATCAACAATGAAATAAAGTGAGGGCCAAATCTGTCACCTTTGAACACAAAGCCCCAAGTCATCACCTTACTAAACCCTTATGTACGAAGAGGGCGAAAATGGCGGGAAAATATTGGAAAGAGGATGAAATTCGACTGATATGGTGAACAGAAACGAACCCCACATAATTCCAACGAAGTTTACTTTATATTGGTAAAGAGCGACACGCAGTTTTTGAATTAGTCAAACCACAATCACACTGTAAGGCATGTATCATCGAGAGTGCGGGAGCACATGCCCTGCTTTCCAAATTCGTAAAAAGATGCGTTTTAGGAAAGTCACTCAGAACCTTAAACTCTAGTGCAAAATGTCAAACTGTAAGACTGAAAAACTCAATCCCAAGCCAAATGCGAAAAATGAACCGACTAAAGTGAGTCTTTGGGGAATTAAACAAAGATAAGTAAGCATACACTTTTTCGTTTCCGTTAGGGCAGGCATTGGCGCAGATGTAGCGACAACAGCATCCACGTCCGAAGCATATATTCCGAGGGCCGTCACTAGACCTTATTACATAAATAGTCAAAAATGGTTGCTTTTAGTTGTATTAAAGACAAAATAGACCATGAGCACACAGAAATAAGTCAAAAACATGTAATCAAGGTGCTCTCAGACCAACACTCTATATCTACTAAATTCAAACGCTAATATAACCCAATCAAATTTTAAAAAATTCTGGCAAAAAACATCCATAATACTATGAGGCGCCGTATAAAGCGCAAAATATGCACATCTGGAACACTTACATCAAGAGAAAGACATAAATAGACTCACCATCATAAAACAGCTTTTGAAACTTGTCAGACTTATTTTCTGCTCCATTTGACCCAAATACACCCAACAGGGACACAAAAGTCATGACGCAGCGTGTACGTGGAACTAACCACAAGCGAATTGAAGGGACGGCCTATCGATTCTTGCGCAAGTTGACAATGTTAGACGATACAAACAAATGTTATAAAGTAAAGCAAAAATTGGTTTCCTATAATGCCATTGCTAAATTAAGTTGCAAAGCGCGTATCATTAATAAGGATTAGTATTTTAAATTGCTGGATTGTTTTTATCGAACTAATCGGCAATTATAATTTGCACAACTTTAGAGCTGAAGTTAACAAAATAACTATGAACTAAAAAATTTGTAAGGATTGCCAGTAAGGACTTGCGAATTCTGTAGAGCTCCAAGACTTCCTATGGGGCGGAATAGGGCAGTAAGTGTATTCCGAAGAGAACATATCGAATGGTCCTGAGCATGGCTCGAAGGTCAGCCCACGAGTACAAGGGTCAGACAAACCCTAAAGTGACCACCGGACGTCAGGTAGCCACATACACAAAGCATCACAAATTCTTTTGGTTTTAAGTTGTTTAGACTTTTGTGGGGAAGTATCATATCCAAATACTTCCGGCACACATTGCAATTTCAGAGTGTTTAAGTTGACTGTGGCGTCCTTAGGCTTCCCATAGGGTGGAAGAAGGTATAAGTGATGTTGAGTACATGTATTCCAAAGACGACAGGGCAAATGGGGTCTGCGTGTGGCCCGAAGGCCAGCCCACGTGCAAAAGAGCCAGCCAGGCAGTTTCTACACTCTTGTCCTTTGAGCGGTCAACGGCGTTTCTGTCACTTTCATCCACTTTAGTGATCAAAACCTATTCTTGATCGTCGGTATGAGTCCACGGACCAACTTCACTAACTTTTCAGCTCAAAATACACCCAAGCCGTATTCCCATTTTTCTGCCATGAATGTAACGCCTTAAGGCTTTGCACTTGGCAGTAGGCATGACTAAACACTTGTATTCAGAAAGAACGAAAAGGCTTGAACCTTTAGCTCGGCTTGAAGGCCATTTCACCCTGTCAAGATCTAGATGAGCACCAGTTTTACAGATAACAGTATAAACAAGATAGTGTAGCACTTTTATGTCCAGTTGATTATAAAAAAACATACATCCACTTACCACCATAGTTATTAGCGTTAATGTTCCCATTCACGATTTGCATGCCAATTTTATTCTACAGTTATTCCTTCTTAAATTCATTGACTCTAGTAATTCTGTTAAGGGAACAGTTCAGCATAAGATTCGGTTAACGCATTTATTCAGAGCAGAGGCCACTAGCATGACCCGAAGGTCATTGGCCCAGCAGTACAGGTAGTCAGATAAACAAAGCGCTTCAGGAGCTACTCGTCGTGTACCAGTCTTCTGGAAACTTTTGGTGGACCTTGTCAACACTTTTAAACATCCTTTTGGCGGCATGGGTGACATTTGGTGTCTTCACTTGATTGGTCTGTTTAGAAAGGGAACATTCTTGGATAAAATTTAACTGGATGGGTGTACCAACAATAGATTGACACGATATTCTTCAAAATGCTTCAGTAAATATTCAAGAATTCTAAAATGGACATAAATATTCGCATCGTAATAAAAGTTTAAACAGCCCCTGTAGGTGAGAGGTTAAAATTCCATTAAAACGCTGTCTGAAGGAGCGGAATCACACCGTTATGCTCATTCTCCCTTTTCCTGCTTTCCATGCTTTGCTATGCCCAAGAAAATAATCTTCTGAGGAGCCCCAGAGCCTAAAGTAGCTTCCACCCACTTAGTTTCCAAATTACCTGCCATTTCAATGCAACCTTCAACAAGAAGCAGTCCTCACACCTGATACTGAAGGATCTGTCCTCACCGAACCCGTCAGACTTTCCCAGTCTCACGTCCAACCAAGTAAACAACGCGGGGAGGAAACGGCCCCACCAATGCAATCTACCTGGCAACTGTCTACACAAGTTAGGCTCGTAAGTGTAGAAAAGTAGGGCTCATTCACCCATCCACGCCTCACCAAAATCAAATTTCGCAAAGTATAGAAACATTAAAAAAGCTTTTACATTTGCATGAATGATGTCTCCACAATTCTTTGTTCATGTGACCACCTCATGTCTAAAGGTCACTTTTGGTATCCGTCTTTGCACTAACCGTGGGGTCAAGTCAAGACCCAATCCTCTCCTCTCCTCCCCTCCACCCCCATCCCCCCTTCTCCCTCCCGTCCCGAATAAATGCCTTCTCCCACCTGGTGGGCACTCTCCCGACCCCACACTGGCAGCAGCGGTGCCATCCAACTCGACCTCCCTCAACGACTTCTATCACAATATCCACTGTTCGTGGCTTGCATCTACGGTGCGATGGAAGCGCATGTGCACGGAATGGTGGAGTCTCTGATTTCCTCAGAATGACGCTTACCTTTGGTCCCACCTTGTCCCCCAATTCCACAAACGAGACATTAACGACTGAAGCGACGTTGACATGAACCGTGTGGAAGACTTCCCTATCAGAGTCCGTCCTACTACATCCGCGAATAGGTGTCGCAATTGTCGCTACTTCGCACCTCCTTGCACACGGGACTGTGCTTCATCCCGTCCTCCCCGTTCAACACCTCGCGTGTACATCGGTGCACTTGCGATTCCTGCTGCCACACCAAACGCACTTGCAGATCCACTTGAAGCTGCTGAGACGAACAAGTAGCGCTTCTCAGTGCGTAGTTGCTGATGACTGACGTGGTCGGTTCGTAGGTGTTTCCTTGTAGCAGTGCCGAATATGTTGTGATGGATGGCGCGAGAGATGTACCAAGGGGAGTGTCGAGCACGTCGTTCAAGAGGAGAAGAAGGGGAGAGTGTAATGCCTTGTTTATGTGACCACTTGATGACTGGCGGTTACTTTGGTATTCGAGCGTGCTGACGTTTAGTTCAAGCCAAGATGCAATCCCAACTTGATGCCTTCCTCTACCTAGTGGAAACTCTGCAGGCGTTACGGCTACTGAAAACAAATATGATCAACAACTGCTGTTTTCAAACCAAGAGAATGTAATGAGTAGAAGCCAGAACCAGGGAGTACACCAATAAGTGGTTTAAAATACCCGTCTTGCAACTCAGAGCGTAGAATCGGAGCTTAAGGAGAAGTGCCCTTCGTAATCCCCAACCACCGATTAGCCTGACAATCAGTACGCAACAGTAAAGAGTACAAAAACGCTGCGCAAAAAAAAACGACTGATACGTCCCCCTTCCCTACATCGTGACTTCAGGAGAAGACGCCAAATAACACCGTAATGAAGAAGATGAGGGAAGCCTGGTCAACTTAACAGCAACCCTGACATCGTTGATTGATCATCACTATTTAAACACAACAAAAGAAAATGTCTTCCAGTTAAAGAGATTGAAGCCAAGTGACCTTTTAGAAGGCCTACATTCGATGGTCGGCATGGTGACCGTAAAGGGAACGAGGTCAGGTCACATCAAGTTGAAATAAGCTCTCAATTGATGCTGTGGATTGAAGACATGATGGTAGTGGTAAAGCTGGATAAAAGAAACCGGGTCCCAGAGGGTCTTTTTTTTATAAATAATTATGAACACAGCTATCAGTCGATGACAAGTCTCGACTTACCTGGATCTGACAGCACAACAATGTGACGCCCATCCCCCATCCTCTTAGTGCATACAACAGGACAGACGTGAGATGTTTTCCACACAGTGATTTACTTTAAGCAGCAGTTGAATTGGTTAACCACGAAGTTGATAACGCCCGTTGACATACTAGAGTAGAGCGAACAAAGCAGTACTGCAGTGACCAATTGACCTCGAGAAGTTGATAGAGAACGGATTGAAGGACCAACATAGCTGAGGACCAATCACGTCCCTTTGATTCAGGGACAAAATAATAGAATGCAGTCTTCACAAAAAAATCTACTCTTATTTCTCACCTCACGTAATATACGTGATGCAGGAGGAGAAAGAAAGAAAGAAAGGAAGAAGAAGAAGAAGAATGAGAAAAAAAACAGACTGAAGTAATCCGAACATCACATGATGGCCTTCAGTCGCGTGTACACCGCCTGATAGACGAAGGCATATTGTTTGGCCAACTGGACAGAGCATGCTCGCTGCTGACGGATTCGTTTGACCACGCCGGGCACATCCACGTAGCCCTCAGCCTTTGCCTGAGCCAGACAGATGTCGATGGCAGTGAATGTGCCTGTTGAAGAAGAGATGGAATAATCATTAACACTTACTCCAATTCCAGCAAGGACACAACATTCTTTTTTTCCTTACGAAAACACCTAGAGAGGGATTGGACGAGGGAAAAATAATCATAAATTTATAGGGCCTGCGGCTAACCAATTAGCGGCAAATGACCCATAAGCGTTTAAGCAAAATTGGAGACCTCGATGTGCACATGTGGCGATGCCAAGGTTCGGCCATCCTGGCGACACGATGCGTGTAAACTACTAAAGAAGGGCAGCCAGAGTGTCTCTGTGGCTCAGTAAAGATCCTGCTGTGACGGACGCCAGTGCTGTGAGTGGAGAGCCAGTCGATTTGATGCATAAACTGTCAGTGTGAATTAGACCGGAGACAGGCGGATTATTGTGGAGAAGAAACAATGAACACAGTGTTTGGTAAACACGAGTTTTGGGGATTAGCGCTCTCGCAGTAACAAAAAAGTCTTCCTGTTTTGCAATAACACGGAACGATCGGATTCTACGCCCTGTCGGGGAAATCAAAACACCCTTGGCAAAACCCAAGCGCATCATATTAAGTGAGTTTAGTTGGCAAACAAGGAAGTAATTGACGAAGCTGAGTCCTGAGAGGTGAAAACACGGAGAAAAGTGAACATATCTGCACCTCATTTAACGAGGTGACTGTGCGACTCACCTGTTCGACCAATGCCAGCCGAACAGTGGACAATGAGAGGAGAGGGGGACAACGAGGTGGATGATTGCCGAAGACGCTCGTTGATGACGTCGAGGAAGGTGAGAAAACCACGAGGCTCCTTTGGTACGTCGAAATCGGGCCAGCCGAGGAAGAGGTAGTGCTCGATTTTACGTGTCTCTGCGAAAGAGGTGGTGGGGTTGGTTGACTCGGATGCAGTGCCATTACCCTGTGAGAGGAGAAAAGATTAGCCAGTAATTTATTTGTTTGTGTGTTTACAGTCAAAGCTAATTTGCTATCATTCAAAACTCACTTAAAAGCTTGATGAGATCAAAGCATAAAACTGAAGTACTGATGAAAGATAGAGCACTAACATTTTTTACCTTTCTGTCGTAGAAAAGAAAGGCCACTCCGAGAAGTGGGATAACATCAACTCACCTGTGATTTGGACAGTTGCAGATGGGAGAGTTGATAGAGCCCATTCGCTTCCACTGTCTGCTGTACATTGGTCACTGAGAAGGGTGGAAAACACTTGGTGGCCGTAGAAACAGAAGAGGCACGCCCATGATTGGTCTCTAGAGGCGGCCAGTACTGACCGCATTTTACTCTACCATTCTCCACGATTCTGTAAGGAACAGGAGAACATAGAGAAGCCTACTAAAGCTTGTATGATGCTACGTGAAAGTTTAACCCTCCAAGACGCGAACACCTAAGGCTTACGGAAGTTAGCAAAGCACTGCACTGTGGTAACAGCAAACTACTTCTTAACCGACTTCTCTTTAGTCCAACAGGTCTCCACAACCTAATCATTAAATGAAACGGCACTTCAAACTATCCTATCCGTACGGAATCTGAAGTACTCGGTTCGTGACCAATTGGCCAGTTGTAGTCGATTCATTAAATCATTTCTCGCCCCTCCCCTTGTCCCTTACCACTGAAAACAAGTGTTTAGCCCAGCTACCAATTCCTGCATTCATGATCAAAAGAATGGTTTAACGCACAAACAAATAAGACCGAAAGTACAATCACTCGCCTCCTGCCCAATAAAATGGCATGCAAAAAAGACCAACATGGAACTTGCTTGGTGAGCATTATGATGATAGAAGCACCGGTAGTCCAAACCATCTGCCAGAAGTCTACAGCTGTACTTTCAAGAGGACCTGAAAGAGAAGGTGCAAATGCGACAAGAAGGTGAAACGGATGATTTGGTAGATTAGCACAAGGCTACCAAAAATAGCATTTACAGATCCCCGTGCTAGTTACCCCCAAGTGACACCTCTTGCCATTGGCAAAAGGGAACACTTTTCGCCCTGACAATGAAATTTAGCGACATTGCAATCATAACAACGCTTGAATTCGGTGAGGTGAATGCATCAATCGCTTCCCCTACGAATCCATACCAGTGGATTCACCTATCCATTGACTGTTCTGTTTGCCCATAGGCCACCATAAAATAGTGCACAAAACGCGCTATGCTATACAATGGGGTCTTAGCAGGGTTCTGCGACTCCCACGATGCCGAGTCAATTAGCTTATTGGTGCCTAATAGATCGTGTGAGAAGATTATCACGCATGCTTAAGTCATTGAGAGGAATATTGTTTGTTCGTTGTCGCGTGTGACCGCATTGCATCAGCAATGACTCGCCAAACACACTTCAATTTGGCACTCAGTTGAGCTACCATGTCTCGCTTAAAAGTAAAGCAAACTGCCCCACCCTAGGCAAGATTATCCCAGTCTTAAAAAAGAGACTAAAGGAGCGAAGTGGAATGGGGGAGAAGAGTTAACGTGGAATGGTTATGTCATTCCAGAAGAAGTGAACTCCCCCTCAACAGAACGGAATGTCAAGGAGAGGCAACAAAATCTCACAGCCCCAGAGTCAGGGTGCAAAACTTAGGAAAGTATACACATCACGACGCAAGGAGGCGAGGATTTACTTTAAAATGGGAGAATTCACTAAAAATTCCAGTCCTCTCTTTTCGCTAAGTTAGCCTCAGAGGAAAGGATGGCAAGCTAGTTCTGTTGCTAGGTTATGAAAAAAGCCTCCGCAAAGAATATCGGCAGGCTCGAGCTCTACAATCACCTCTGCTACCCTCAAAACTGATCATCTGTTAGAGTGGTCACCACAATTACTGCACAAGTGTGGTGAATGCCCATGATTATCAGTTCAGGTGCGCGGATGAGTTTCAGAGTACTTTAAAATACTGACTTTGTTGATACTGTGGTAGGTATGGCACAGCAAGTACTCCTACTCGCAATGAACGACCCTTCATTGTCAAAATTGCCTGTTAATCATCCGCGAGAGAAAAATAAGCTACAATAACACTGATTAGCTCATTGTCAGACCAGCAATGCACTACCTATTCCTTCAATTGCAAAACTGGCAATTAGTTATGCAACTGAATGCGGACGGAGAGCTCGCTAGGAGGGCATTTAGGCGTAGAGAAGAGCATGGCGCCATGTGGGCGGGGAAGTAGGAGCGTATGAAAAAAAAACAACATGCGGTCACGTGATTAGCTCTGCCAGGTCACATGTTCTGCACCTCATCTAAGCGCCTCACCATCCTCACGCGCTGATAACAGGTGGCTTTAGAAGTACAAGAAGAGGTGGTGACAGAGGAAAAAGCAGTAGTACCTGTATCCCTATTTGCGATCACAATGACCTTGAGCGGTTAAATGGGTGTGTTAGGATGGAACCAATGGGGAGAGGGAAAGAAGATCGATTGACAGGTGAACGGTTGAGCGTAAACACCATAGAGGGAGGGGGACAAAAAAATGAAAGTTTTGGTGTCCCACAGAACCATAAGGACCGAATATGTGGTAACTAGGCTATAATTAACATCATTTCCTCATCATGCAGATATGCCAAGAAATGGGAATAATTAGCCACTCGCGGATACGATCACAGGAGGCGTCAACTAAAGTAACCAACTGTGCATGCACCAATTCTGGAGTCACTCAATCCCACCACTCATCCAATTTGACTTTACTAAATAAAAAAAAAACATAAGCCGAGGAGCTTTGATGAGTAGATAAGCTTCATAGTGGAACGAAAGAGGCAGTCTGGTCCGTACTATTCATTTCCTGTGAGCGAATGAAATTCTCTTAAAACACAAATCTCCTCCATAGAGATGAAATTCCAAATGCTTAACTTGAAAAAAAAAAACAATAGAAGTGCATTTATTTGTCTTATTATCACCAAACAGAGAAAGTGATGTTTTTTACTTAGGGCAAATTCACTCATTCATCCGACTGCCCACCCACCGTTCTATTCCACTTAGGGTCCACAAATCCGTCAATCCACTTCGTCGAAAATAAGTCGAAGTGCTGCATAAAACAGCCTACTTTTCAGGACGACAGGTTAGTAAACCACTTGTCAAAGTATTCACATCAGGAAATTAATTTTAAGCATGATCAGCGCAACTCCAGATGCAAGCGTTCATGAAAGAAACCAAGAAGACCACTGCTTTTGCATGAGAAAGTCACAACTAAAATCTGTCCTTTGAACCAACAAATAGGAGAAGACTATTCTGCCACCTAGTGGGTAAAGGTGTCCCCTCCCTCGACATCGACAGTCTCACGATCAAAACGCACAGTCATTTCAGCAGTAAAGAGGAAGCCCAACCACAGCCACACCAATTCATCCACAAGTCAACCTTAATTTCTTGAAAAAAAAGTAGTTTCCGAATACTGAAACTTTTCCAAAAAAACAGGTCCTCACTGTTGACAAAAAAAAAGTAAACTAAGTGTGCACATGACCCTAGTTCTAAAGGGTTCAAGCATTCCTAGTGGTATGACGATACTAAACGCATTAGTGGATGAAGTGTGCCTTGGCACGACTACACATCCGCAGCGCACGTGTCGTCCGTGGGTTGTTGTAGTCCAACCTACTAATCATTGGTGCCCGTGTTTCTTGTGTATGTGCGTGTATGCGCGTGTGCTTGTGTATAAGAAACGGCGATATTAGGCTAATCTTCCGATCGTGAGTTCAGCCAGCCGGCCCAGTGGTAAGGCTTTCACAACCCATTAACGAGCCGCCTGCTGCATTTCCCTTTTCCACTCAACAGCCTCGTAGTCTCGGCAGTGAGTGGAGCGTCTGTCAATTTTAGACACCCAAGTTGTCATCGCGAAATTGCACAGAAGACGGACGAATCTACGCGTGGCAGTGAACAGTGAACGCAATCAGGCATGGATATTTGACACCCCAGCACCCTACCAATGCAGCTCTCCACTGAAGCTGCTTTTTGGGACAGGTAAAAGGTGAATGCCGGGAAAATAAATACACTTACAAATAAGGGCAATTTCCACTCCTTAGAGTGTGGACCTGGCAATTATGATGAAACCCATGTACCTATTAAATGTCGACTAATAGGATGGAAGTTCATTGTAAATATTTAAAAAATGAAACACAAGAACCACTTACAGAGTATCAAGGCAAGAATCCACTCACCCTGAGTAAGAATGTACGCCTTTCTGCGTTTATATCCATCCACAAAATTGGCATGGATGTAGGCATCATTGGGAAGTGGTACTGCTGAATGGTCCAAACACGGAACATCCACGTAACGATTTTTTGGCCAATTGATACGACTGGAAAAGCGACTAGCACTGGCATTGCCACCAACCTGTCGAATGCATGTCTCAAATTCACGTTCAAAGGCCGTGGGAAATTTGTGAGGGAATTCAGCAAGGAATTGGGCCACAGAGATACGAGTGGGAGAGGGTGTGGAAACTGTGTCCTCCTGGTTGTTGTTTAAACTGGTGGAAGTACCTTCTTCGTTGGAATAGAGGACATTGCTCGCGTTGTTTACCGACGCGTCAGTACGAAGCAGACGGTTGTAGGTCCACGTGGTCGGCTCTGGCAGTAAGATGGAGGAAAGGGGATAATCACATAGACTAACTGACTCATTAACGGACCTCCGATTACCAAAAGATAAAATTTGGAGGAAATTTTAAGTCTGCTAAATGGAAATTATTGCGGACAAAATGGTGTCCCGCATCGAGGGCCAGACACTGAAACGAACAATTCACGGCAATACCGGTCACCAGGTCAACAATAAGTGTGAAATCACAGCCCTCTATTTCAACAATCAATTTATAACCACCACCTGTGTCAAGAGCTTTGTACGGAAGGAAACCCATTAGGACATGGCACAGCACCCAACCAGTCGTCGGATCTATTCAAGCCATTGTAGTACTGGAAGTCAAGCGCCTCAACTCTAAACATGCTGTTTTAAACCGGATCTTTATACGGAAGGAATGACTGTCCAAAGGACAATAGAGAGCCCTAGCGATTGCTAGATCCACACGAGGGCATAAGGCATTCAAGCATCATTCATTCCAACCCTAGATCTCTACACCCGGGATTTATTGGAATGAATAAAGGCATGAAAGGGGAATGGAATCCAAACCTACGCGGAATCCATGTGTCTTCCCTAGCACTCTCATTTGTGGAACGCACAAATAACCATCAAAAAAAAAACATTATCAACAGAACGTGAGACGAGAATGAAGATTGGTCAAGTGATACACATCCCAGCGTGAAGGCTTCAAACACCAATCAACAGTAGTCAAACCAGTGTCTTCCCAGTCGAATTCCTTATACCGGGTGTCACAAGCCCTCTCTTAAGTGAGGAATGTCACGGAAGGGAGATACATGCGGGAATCGAAATGCTGGGAACTGAACTCGATTCCAGGACGAGTGAATTTTTGAAGACATATTTACGCTAAAACATGTTTGCACCAGTCAATAGTTTGTCGTAGACTTCCGCCAGGATTTGGTTTTATATCTAAATAACGGGACAATTTCCCCTCTACCGGGTCTATATATGGCCTCGTTCTTGATAAAAAAAGACAGTATGAGAGATTGCCACCCAATTCGCGTCGCCGCTATCATTCGTACTCCTCATAAAAATGTACTGTTTGTTGCTTTACCAGCCACCAAATACGAAACGCATTGTTGGTAAAAAGGCATTTTACCTCGTCTTGAAGGGTTGACAGAATTCATTCGATTCATACTGCTACTTCCGCCATTACTAAGTCGCTGATGTGGAAAGTGATGGATTTGGTTCTGAGTGAGGGAGACACGACGCCTAGCGACGCTGGACAATGGAAGAGTGGCAGACGCCGAGAGGAGAGGGGAAACAGCCTTCATGGGATTGAAGTAGTCCTCAGTAGGCAACACAGCGCCAAGACGATCGAAACAGATGCGGAGCCAATCGACGTGACGGTGGGGCAGGCTACCCCCAAGGCTCTGCGGAATGCTCGCCAAAGGAAGAAAATTTATCAATTGACGTCGTTCGATGGCGAAGATCTGCAGAGGGAAGGCGACAAATAAATAACGCTTAATGAAAACCATAAACATCACTTATATCGTGCCTAACAAACGGCGACGAGAGAGTGTCTCCAATTCTTAAACACCAAAATGCAAAGAAAGCTTCCACTCTGTCATCAGCCTTCCAAACCTTGAAGAAACTGCTGTGCTATGCAAACAATCCCATGAAGCCTTGAAAATAAGAAAAAAAACGGCAGAAATCTTCGCATGAGGAGGAGAGAATGAGAAGCACAGCTAAAACAGGCTAAAGGCATGAATTTGAAACTAAGGAGGAATCAACAAAACCGCTTTAACTTCCAATTACCAAGCATTAAAAAATGCTGCCACTTTTACAGTGTTTACTACACCAATTGTGAGGGATAGTGGGCCTAGGCTCAATGACCCACTGGAAAACTGTTTACTTGCAAGGGCATTGGAAGTGACCAACATTAGGGCAGGAGAAGTATGCCAAAGGGGCACACCCACGTAGGTAAAAGGACCTACCCTTTCGCGAATCTTGTCCTTGACGAAGAGACGGGATAAATGATAGGGCGGCCGAAACCAAAAGGGAGCGGCAACAATAAGAATGTTGCGGATACGAGCTGGATAACTGCCCTGTAGAGCGAATAAAAAAAGACTAGTCAGTCTGAGTTTGAAATTTTATGAGGCTACTTGCAACTTCTCACCCCGTCTACTTGTCTCAAATAAGGCCATTTTCAGAAATGCTACGCCCAAAACAACTTCAGAGAGCGCTAAATGGCTTCACATTGATGAGCTCATCCCTGACAAGAAATTGCATTTCTGTTTGCCACCGAAAGGCATCCACAGGCATGAAAGACCTGACAAACACCCATATCTTCAGCTTAAGACATGATGAAGATCAAAGTGGGATAAGTTTGGCAGTAACTGAGGCATAAAAGAGCACGATACCTAAGTTCCGTCCAGCTTTTGACTCTACACTCCTAAAATTGGCCTCCTCCTCCTCCTCCTCCTCTTCCAGGTTTTAGCAGTTTGGCGAATCACATGACAGACAAGACTTCACTGCAAATCACAAAGGAGGTACGCCATTAGAAGCCATCATTGCAATAGAAACGCGACATTAGTAGGTTCCATCACCTTGTGCAATGATCTCATTGCATCAACCGACCACTGGCGTTGATGTCATTGCACCAATCTACATTTGAAGTGTGCATAACAACTGACAGCATCGTAGAGGATTCGAAGCATGTAATGGAATGAGGTTATAACCACACGCACAACCAATGAAGTCAGAAGATTAAAGAATGTTTTAAATGTGAAGAAGAAAAAGAGGAAGAAAAGGGAGAGGAGGAGGAACCACAAAGCTGACGTCGGATCGCCCACACCATCAACCTATGTGCTGGTCCCAATATGTCCATTTGTTGTGCCATTAGATTGCTTACCTGACAAGTCAACTGATTTCGAACAACAGCTTCACTTGGACAACCAACGAGAAGGTTACACCGACCTACCATTTGAGCACTTCCATCAATCGACCTGAGTGGTCTCTCTCATGCTCGACTTGACCCAAAGTGATTCGATTTGTTGTGCTTTGCCGTTACCCACTTAACCACCACACACCCACCTCCAGCTGACCTTAAAGGCAAGTTTGTAGCTGGCGTGAAGTGATTGGATGATTACACATGCAGCCTGTCCGGACAGTGCCGTTCGATGATGTATACTACCTGTACAAATGAATTTTCTCCGACAAGACTAACCAAAATGCTCTATCACAAATACCAAGACTCATGCGATTGGAGAAGTACGTGGAACTCGCCAATTTGAATTAGATTTATGTATGTCTTATAGGTTACAAAAGTGAGTGGAGAGGGTTAGCCCTTTGGAGAGTGAAAATGTGAATTTCTACTTCTAGAGCTACACAGCCTTGAAACACTTAATTCACCCCTCCACTTTCCGTTTTAAGTACAAAACAGACGGTATTGCACCAAATTGATAGTTGTCGATGTGAACTTCAAAGCCTTGCCAAAAGTCTGTTGTTTACTACTAACACTTCTACCAAAAAACAACCCTCGCAACCTCATACGGTGC